ACCAAGATATACATATGTAACCATAAGTGGGCCCATTTTCCAAAAATGTATAATATTCTTGTTTTTCGTCTAAAAATTATTATAAATTTCAATTTTGAGTGAATAATCTTCAGTAGTTACTTAAATATCGCCGTTTTCGTATTTCTGAGAATTACCGTTATATGGGAGGTAGGCGTGGTTATTGTCCGATTTTTCCCATTTTCAATACCATCCGTCCTACGCCAGAAGCAAGTGCACGTACCAACTTTCGTTAATATATCTCAATTTTTACTCGAGTTATCGTGTGCACAGACGGACAGATGGACGGACGGACAGACAGTCTTAATCGATTCTCTTTTCATTCTGATCATTTATGTATACATTTGTCTATATCTATCTCGATTGGTTTGCCTGTTACAAACAGCCGTTATGTGAACAAAGTTATAATACCCTTGTGCACAAGTGCGCTCGGGTATAAAGCAAAGCGAAAATTAAACAAGTAAGAAAGTCTAAGTTCGGGCGGAGCCGAACAATAAATACCCGGCGCAAGTATTAAATATATGATTTTCACCTTTCCGAAACCTACCGCTAGATGGTAAGCGGGGGTGTATCAATTTTGAGTAAATTAGCGTCCTTAAATTTCGAAATATTGCAGTTTCAAGCATTTTTGAAATTTACTCTTATATGAAAAGCGGCCGTAATTTTAGTTCGATTTCAATAATTTTTAAAGTTTTGCTTTTATATAGCAAGCACAATAACCATACCGAGTTTGGTACAAATTGCTAGAACGGTTAGCGAGATACACATATGTGATCACAAGTGGGCGGTGCCACGCCCATTTTCCAAAATTTTATCATAAACATATTTCTTGGTAAATAATTGTTGCAACCACCAGTTTTGAATAAATTACCTTTAATATTTACTGATTTATCGAAGATTTTGTATTTCTCGAAATTACCGTTATATGGGATGTGGGCGTGGTTATTTTTCGATTTTAAACATTTTTAGCCATTTGGTATGCTGTACCAGGACCAACAACTGTGCCAAGTCTGGAAGAAATCGGTGGAGAGGTTGCCAAGATATACACATGTAACCATAAGTGGGCGTGGCTGCGCCCATTTGTCAAAAATTTATAATATTCTTATTTTTCGTCGTATTTTTCGTCGTATTTTTGTAAATATCAATTTTGAGTGAATAATCATCAGTAGTTACTAAAATATCGCAGTTTTCATATTTCTGAAAATTACCGTTATATGGGAGGTAGGCGTGGTTATTGTCCGATTTCGCCCATTTTCAATACCATCCGTCCTACGCCAGAAACAAGTGCACGTACCAACTTTCGTTAATATATCTCAATTTTTACTCGAGTTATCGTGTGCACAGACGGACGGACGGACAGACAGTCACCGCTTAATCGATTTCTCTTTTCATTCTGATCATTTATGTATACATTTGTCTATATCTATCTCGATTCGTTTTGCCTGTTACAAACAGCCGTTATGTGAACAAAGTTATAATACCCTTGTGCACAAGTGCGCTCGGGTATAAAAAAATACTGAAATCATTTTAGCTGGGACCGTTGATAACTGATGAGCTTACATGAATATATACATACGTATGGATGATATAATAGCTCTGATCTAATACTTTTTGTCCGTAAATGCTAGCGTAAATTTTTGTTTACTTTTACATTTAACATTCCTCCTCTTCTTCGCGAGTATAATCGATAAAACTAGGTTGGACACCAAAAAGTTATCGGTTTAATCTGAGATATTTTTAATTATAATAATCTGAGATGTTTTTAATTATAATTTTTTTCTAATTACCTATTAGGGAGTTAAGCTCGAAAATGAGGATAATCTTTTTATATGTAAACCTATTATTAGGCTATATAGTTACATATATACACATGTAGGTTTGGTTAGAAATTAAACATTAATTTCACTTAATTTTATTCATTTTGCTGATTCAATTTTTTTCATTTTCATTTTTAATTCTTTTAATACATGAAATTAGCCGAAATAGCATACATATGAAGTTTTATGGCTAACGATAACCCGTGCCGACTTTTAGTTGAAGTTTTAGTTAATAACTTGAACTTAGACTGCCAAATCGTCCATGAAAACTTTGTAAATGCAATGAATTCGAAATGTTTCCCATATTTGAACGCATTTCTAGTAAGCCTGCGTCTTTAAATTTTTAATAGGACGACAGGATTTCTCCCAAGGACATCGAAAAAATTAACTAATCGAAAAGTATAGCGGCTTTTTAACGGTGTATTACAAGGCTGCAAAACGATATTTTTTCTAGTCGAATAATTTGTGTATGTCCTGAAGGATTGCAATTGTAAAACATTTTTTAATAGTTGTGACAGGGCGTATGATAAACATTAAATTATTAAATTCAACTTGTATTAAAAATTTTTTTCCTCATTTAAAAAAATTCCTTTCATAATATTTAATAATCAAAATAAATCGTTTTAGTCTTTGTCATGTCCTCTCGGGTTGATATAATGGTTGTACTTCTGTATGACATAAAAAAAATTTAACTAAACATAATTACCATATCGTACTGATTTACACAGTTGAACAGCCTGAAAGGACATATAAAATAAGAAAGCATATGATTTGTTGTATTTAATATTTTGTAAGGCATTTTTTTAAGAAAAAGGAATGTAGTAGAAAAGTCGAATTTACTAATTTTGTATCCATCACACGCCCTGTCACACCAATTAAAAAATGCTCAGAATTGCACGTTTTCAGGGGATACACAAATTTTTCTACTAGAAAAGATACATACATATGTACGGTAGGATTTCTCCCAAGGACATCGAAAAAATTAATTAATGGAAAAAGCATAGTGGATTTGAAGGGGTTATTACAAGGCTGCAAAACTATGTTTTTAGTCTAATAATTTGTGACCATTTTTTAATTAAATTTTTATATTCAACTTTTTTAACAAATTCTTTTCCTCCTTTAAAAAAATGCATTTCATAATATTAAATAAACAAAATAAATTGTTTTAGTGTTTGACATGTCCTCTCGGGTTGATTAAAGAATAAATGTGGCAGTATTAATTAGAAAATTTTAAAAATATCCTTTGACATTTTTATCTTTTAGTATCCCTATATATATTAATAAGATTTAAATTAAACTAAGATTCTTCAAAACTCATTCAAAATTGAAAATCTTGAAGGATAATATTTTTAAAGAACATTTTTTACATGGTCCAGAAGGATAATTGAAAACAAAAGGTATAGTTAATCTTGTTTCGAATTCTTCTTTTATTTGATACCCATATCTCTATATTTTGTGTAAACTTTTGGAAATATATTATAATTTATGGTCCTTTGGAAAAAATCCTGACTACCAGGTAAAAAACCAAAAACGCAGATTTACTAAATATTATGTCCTAATACTGTAGGGAGTATCGTAATACCGTCTTATAAAGAAGTAAAATAAGTAAATTAACAAAACACGCGAACTGCAACAAGCTTATTCTGATAACTTTAACTGCAAGTCGGCACGGGTTGCCGGGGTTGGAATTGCATAAAATTTGATTCCTATATTTTTTAAGATAACACCAATGAAATGAAGGGGTATGCGTCAAAAA